TCCTGAAAACTTTTATGCTCTTTCACCTCAACAATCATATTCTAATATTGATAATCATCATCCAAAAATAATATTTCCAGTTCCAAATGTTGGTGGAATTTCCAACCATACGCTTCCATTATCAATGGGATCTCCAAATCAATCAATTCCGTTCACAATAGATTCACCAAATCAGTCATTCCCTGTGTCTCAAACTCTTACTCATACTTTGAGTAATGACTTCCTATCCCTGGGTAGACACCAGGTGAGTTCGCCCATGACTTCTACAAGCATGGACAGATCAAATCTTAGTGGTGGATCTATGAATCAATCAGTGTACCAATTGGGTCATACTTTATCCCCTAGTTTTAATACCCATACTCAAAGCAGTCATAGTTTCACCCACACTCTGAATGGAAGTGGAAATCACAGTTTTTTGGATGGACGTAAAATTGTGTTTCCTGTGCCACATGTTGGAGGAATTCTTGAATCTCAACAACCAGTTACTCAACATATTACTGGAACTCTGGAAGGAAACATAGGAGGAACACCACAGAGTATTCCTGTTGTACTTAATAATTTGACATTAAATCGTAACTCCCAATCTAGTCATAATATTGGTAAGTATAAATGCAACAAGGTGTTACAAAAATGAAATGAAATGAAGTGGGGTTTAATGGGCTAATGAAGATGGGCATACACCATAAAGTGTGCTATGAGGGAAATTTTGCCCGGGCAATGGCACTATGAGCTACTTTTATATTGAATTCCAACTGCCAAGGGATATTTTATGTGCACACCAATGTATACACGGGTCCTTGTTTTTTTGTCCCATCGGAACGATTAGACAACTTTCCTTGTCAGGCCCTCCGTTCTGCACCACTGATGAGGGGAACCCAAGATATTACAACATAATATAGGGTAGGCTTATATAGAAACACTTTGGTGGATTATATCCCAAGATCTGGCCCTGGGTCATGAAATGTTTTGGAGAGACAGAGTCAGAGAGCGAAATGGTGTTTAATATTCACTCAACACATATCAATTTGCAAGGGTGCAGGCGCAGGGGTATTTTAACAGTTTAGTCAATGACAGAACTTATGATCTACAGTATATTCTTTGAAAAAGGCTTAAAATCCTTTTAATGCAGCTGTTAAAAGCATTTTGTAATCTACAATCAATAAAGTGAAAGGGCGTAACTACATGTACTAACTAGTATAGAAAATATGTGGTATTTTAAATGATTGTGTTTACTTCATATTAATACATTCACTCAAGCTTGAAGTATTATTCAAATCATTTCGATCGGAACACTGGCACGTTTGAAATAAAATAGATAACACTAATTTAGATATCTGAGTTTCTTAACAGCCAGCTACAAAACCTGTTTGTAGCGTGTTTCGTTCCCTCCCTCCCACCTCCCAAATATAGTCAATTTATAGTAGAATTCTGTTATCAAACTACAGTTATTTTGGATCATAGCGTATCATACACCTTTATGTTGAAACTTTAAAGATGGCAACAGGATAGATGATGATTATGTACTTAGATTTTTCGAAATGGATGAATTCAGCGAGTACTTTGACTGAATATGGACTACAAATATTTTTATCCTTACTATATAATAGCTGAGGATTATGTACCACTACATATTTCCTATGGTAAAACGAAGACTACTGGTAAAGGTGAATTCTAGAATATGAATTTTAGCCTGTAATTATGTGTTAAGGATTTTAAAGTGTTTTTGATTTTATTGTTAAAGTAATGAACATCAAAAAGCACCATAAACAAGCAAGTATTGTGTATCTAGGAAAGGCTCTTTCTTGAAAATTATTAGGGTTTATGCTGCTAATAAGATATTACTAGAGATACATTCTTGAGATAACAGATACTATTCATCATGTTTAAAATCAATGCTTCATGAAATTAATGCAACCTAAATGAGGTATATAGAAATTCATTTGTCTGACCAAATGTGAAAAAACAAAACAAATCTATTTGGAAATTTCTCTTAGCTATCTTTACAATTTAATTTAATAGTGAAAAATCTGAGTCAGAACTGTACTTAATGTTTAGATAAGTAATGACGAATACAATGCACATACATGTAGATGAAGAAAGTAATTTGTATACGGCTATACCACCCACTAATAAAAAATAATTAACAGTAAAGAAAGGAGATGCATTTATAATGGAGGGAGTGGGTTGGCTGGTAAATCTAAAACCAAACTGTTAACTACTACTGTCGCTATCCTTGTTTGTTGCAAATACTTGTCACCATTTGATGGTGAAAAATATGTCAACATACTGAAGGCTAGTCTAATCTTAATGATCCTTCCATTGGTCATTGTCAACATTGGGTAATTGAAATGTCCAGTATGCTTTGAAAATGCTGGGAGAGTAGGTCACTAAAAGGCTATACCTGTTTTTTGGTTGGACATTTTTTAAAAAAAAATAGGTTCATTACTATGAATAGACATGTTTAAAACATTCACAACCACATTGCAACAAGTTGACAAATGTTCTTAAAATGTCATTCATCTTTTGACTGGAATTCTTCATTTTTCTGAATTAGTGTATTTTAGTTTTAGTTTGACAAAACCCTCACATGCTAGAATAAAATTCTAAATAAATGGTCTAAAATGAGACTATACATTTTTTTCTGATTTTTTTTCCATTACATTTTTACACCAGTATGGTCGAACAACGTCCTTAAAAAGTTTGTGTCCAATTGACCTCATGTAACATTTTAAAAACAAAGGCTTTGGCTTGGGCAAGAACGATTTTAAGAAAATATAGTTGTCAAGATATCAAAGAGAATAGAGAATTGATAAGATAAAATAGTAGTCAGATCCTGGTGTAGTGTAGCTTAACCAAAATTAACTGTGCTTTGAAAAAATGTTATGTAGCCTTGTGAATCTGAGAATATTGTATAAGGAAACTGAGCTATCATAATGGCCACTTTCCATTTCTGTATTGTTGACATATTCCCAGCACCACCTAAAGCACAAAAATTACATAGCAGAACATTGTCGGTGACAGTGAAGATTCATTTTTCTTTGGATGTTTGTTTGGACTGTTAATGATACTGACACACAGTTATAAATAAATATATTTTAATTCGGTTATATTTTGGTTATAAAAGTGTAAGTGTGATATTGTGTTATCGGAAGTCAAATTCTGAAAATTTTCATGGAACCCCAGAACACCGGAAACCGTGCTTCGTCAATAAAACCTTAAAATAGGCCCTGCAGTCACTGTTTACAAATAAAACAATGTGTTCATGCTACAATAGCTACACTCTTTACTCAGGTGCATTTAGAAAATTCTTCAAATGTATTTTAGTAGCTGTTGTTAGGACAGAGAGTGGACCATCTCCTTTAATAAATTGATTCAAAATGGATAGGTCTAGCTCTGTTCATGATAAAAAGTCTGTTACAAACATTAATTTTAGGATATTACGATTAATAAATATTATTCTTTGCAAAACATGCTGGCAGTAGTATTATTTAGTTTGGCAATGCTACGTTTTTATACGCCCACATTTTCATGTGGACGTATATTGTCGTCGCCCCTGTCCGTCCCTCCCCATTTTTTGTGTACACTCTACAGGTCACAATTTTTATCCGATTTCAACGAAACTGGAAATATAAGTTTATCCCCCAAAGATCTCGGTTCCTTTCGATATTGGCATGTATCGGACCGTAACTTCATGGATTATGGCCCCTGATTTTATGAAAAATCGCATTTTTAGCTTGTAGACCCTATAGAGGTCACAATTTTTATCCGATTTTGTTGAAACTTGAAATGTAAGTTTATAACCCAAAGATATTGGTTCCTTTTGATATTCGTGCGTAACTTCCTGAATTATAGCCCCTGATTGTACAATAAAATCACGTTTTTAGCTTGCTGTCCATATAGAGGTCACAATTTTTATCTGATTTAAAAAAACACCATTACACACTAAGATCTTGGTTCCTTTTGATAATCGCGTATATCCGAACGTAACTTCCTGGATTATGGCTCCAGATTGTTCGAAAAATCGCATTTTTAGCTTGCGGATTCTCTAAAGGTCACAATTTCTTTTTTTCGATTTTAAAAAACGTTTAAATATTCCTCCATTCCACCATAATGAAGGTTGAATTCGAATTTCGTGAAAATTGAAATGAAACTGCCCGACAAAATGGCCGCTCTTTGTACGCAAATTGTGTAAAAGTATGCAATATGAAGGTTGTAGACCCTCTAGCGGTCACAATTTTTATCCGATTTTGATGAGACTTAAATTATATCTTTATATCCCAGAGGTCTCAGCCCCTTTTCATATTTGCGCATTTCAGAACATAACTTTTTGGATTATTGCCCCTGATTGTACAAAAAATCATGTTTGTTTTTAGCTTGTTCTCTGTCCATCTCTTGCAAAATATGGGCGTATCCTGCCTGGCAGCCGCTGGTATCTTTAGTTAAAATGTATTTGGATGTTAAAAAAGAAAATCTATAATTTGCCTGCAAGTTCTCAGACTTTAATTATGTTCAGTCAGGACAACATTTTGTATTGTGCAACATCGAAATGGAATTGATTATTTTAAAGTTGCTTGAACTCTATTATTAATGGCTTAAAAATCATGACCAAGAACTGCAGTAAATATGGTACGCATACAGTACATGTACATACTCATTATAGACTCTATGTAGTGAACTAAAAAGTAAAGACCCAACTGGATGTCTCTCAGTCTCAATGTGTCATGAAATTAATTGCCATGCACTTTTGGATTTTGGTTCTTCATCCATACATGGTTTCAATTTTTGCAATGCATTCGAAAAGAATCAATTTCAATATATATTTATCAAATTGAATCAACAAAATATACATGGGCCAGCCAAGTCTTGATTCTCAAAGATAAATGTTACTTAAGGTAATGGTTTGCAAATAGCAATGTCCATTCCATGAATATAGGTATAACTCTATGATTTCAATTGACTGCAGTAGCAAACATAATTAGTACATTTTCTTTGATTTTCAGGAAGTCCATTCACCCAGGAAATTGGAGAAGGAGCATTACCATCTGCTCATGGCGATGGTTTATATAGGGGAGAAGAAGATAAAACTGCTGGTTTTACAATTGATTCTCGAGGATTTAATGGTGAACCAACAGTACAAGTTGACGGTAAGAAATTTCTACTTCAGTAGTTGAGTACATATGCAAAAATGGAAATGAGTAGCATATGAATTAAAACCTCTGCACTTTGAATGAGGTCATGAAGTAGGAGCACACATCTTTGTAAGAAGTCACTTCACAGAACTATTTTCTGTAAATTTTTCTTGTCTTTGTCACAGAAGGAGAAAGAGCTGGCAAGTTAGAACATTATAGATTTTGAAAAATTGTTGTGAATTTCATTTTGTAATGTAGATTTGAACCAAGCAGTGGGTGGATGTGGTACTATTCTTGTTCTCATCTCAGCTTATTCATTCAACTGAATCAAGTTATTGTAAAAATTTTTGTATGTCTTTTTATTACAGGACCTAATTCAACTGAATCAAGTTATTGTAAAAATTTTTGTATGTCTTTTTATTACAGGACCTAATTCTATGGCTAAAGTTAGTCTAGAAAGACAACATGATGGTAATTATTATGTGTCGTATATGCCAGTAGAAGTAGGAACTTATGATGTTTTTATCAAGTGGAACGGAAGAGATATTCATGGTAAGTCGATGATATAGTGTAAATTATATCAGCATCAAATTGACCTTCAGTTACAACACTGGTTTAAATGTCCCAAAACAAATTACATGGATTTTTATATTGCTTTAGATGGTGTACCGGTATGTCTTTCATAAAATGGATGTTTTGGCACTTATTATCCAGAATTTGTAAAAATTATCTTGTTAGTAAAGTGCCTGTAATTCAGATCGCTCCTGAGAATTATGGATAGGCCTTTTTTATAAGCCCTGTCCCTGATTGTACGAAAAATCGCATTTAAGGATTGTGGTCCCAGTAAAGGTCACAATTTCTATCTGATTTAAAAAAACGTGTGAATATTTCACCGTTACTCACTAACATCTTGGTTCCTTTTGATAATTGCATATATCCCAACGTAGCTTCCTGGATTATAGCTCCTGATTGTTCAAAAATCGCATTTTTAGCTTGCAGATTCTCTAGAGGTCACAATTTTTTTCACGATTTTGAAAACCGTTAAAATATATCACCATTCCACCATAATGAAGATTGAATTTGAATTTCGGGAAAATCGAAATGAAACTGCCCGACAAAGAGGCCCCTTTTTGTACGCAAAATGTTTAAAAGTATGTAATACGATGGTTGTGGACCCTCTAGCGGTCACAATTTTTATCGATTTTGATGAAACTTAAAATATATCTTTATATCCCAAAGGTCTCAGTCCCTTATGATATTTGCGCATTTCAGACTATTACTTTCTGGATTATTGCCCCTGATTGTACAAAAGGTTATGTTTGTTTTTAGCTTGTTCTCTATCCATCTCTTGCAAAATGTGTGTGTATCCTGCCTGGCAGCTGCTGGTATCTTTAGTTAAAATGTATTTGGATGGTAAAAAAGAAAATCTATAATTTGCCTGCAAGTTCTCAGACTTGAATTATGAACAAAAAGTCGCGTTTGTTTTTAGCTTGTTCTCTATCCATCTCTTGCAAAATGTGGGCGTATACTGCCTGGCAGCCGCTGTAGATTTTTTATTTGAAATGTTAGAAATTAAAAAAAACCTAAACCATTTGCTTTAAAAAAGGAAAACTGTTGTTTAGGATATCAGGATATCAGAAATTATATGTTCTAAGATTAATAACACCCATTTATACCTTCTTAATTGCTTAACATATGAAATATTTTTGGTATTGTAGGAAGTCCTTTCCATCCTAAAATTGTTGATGCTCGTAAAGTACGAGTGGTTGGTGGATGGCAACATTACATGGATCCACAGGAACGGGTGCAGCTGACCGTAGGAGAAGAAAAGAGGATTCCTTTTGATACATCTGATGCTGGCCCAGGTTAGTGAGCAGTGTGAACAATATTACATGATGATATAAGGATTAAGAAATTGGTCATCGAGACATAAATTTATTTATTGTTTATAAATACTGCACTACATATATATGATTGTATTTGACAACTCCAAACTTTCAATTATTTTTAGAAGCATTTCAGCATGCAAGACAGGCTAGACCTTATGCAAATGTTAAAAATGGGGCCCAGTGAATATAAATACAGCATATAATGTAGGCCTAATGATGTATGTCTATTGCTTGTAAGGCCCACATGTAGCAGAAATGCAACATTTGCCAAAACTAAAGTAAAAAAGGAAGAAAAAGAAAGCTATTGATAGATCTAATGTATGAAAAATACTGGCCATTTTTTTCTGCTCTCCTATCTCTTACAAAATCAATTATACCATTGTGTTTAGTATTTTATCATATCTTTACCTTGGTTACTGTCCCCAAACTCCTTTAATGATTTATTTACTTGCTTGCCTGTTGATTTTCTCAAATATTAAGGTCAGAAGTCAGTGAGGCTTGATAGAGTTACTCCCCTTGATGCATCAAGGGAGATTATTTATGAATGTGGATGCACACCACAAAATAATTTATACTATATGTTCATATTAATTTGTGTCTCTTTGTCTGCTCAAATTCTTCCTCAAAATATGTTGGATTGGTTGTGTCATGCATGCTAAGGATTATTTTTGATGAACAAATTTGAAGTAGCATACTAGTAAATATCCACAGTGGGTAGGGAGGGGCTATAAATAGAAGAAACACCATTTGTACATGAGTTGACTTTATTTACGAATTTCTCGATTTTGTATATTACAGGACAACTTACTACTGAAGTTAAAGGTCCAAGTGGACATGTACATGCTACCATTGATGATGCTGCTATAGGAAGAAGTGTTGTCTGTTTTACCCCAAGAGAAGAAGGTATGGGTTAGACTCACATTTGTTGATGTTAGAATTTGTATGTAGGCATCATTCTTTGTCCTTTTTTTATTTGATGGGAAAGGCCTAAGTTATAGGTTATACTGGGGAAATATAAATGTTGGGGAAGAAAGAAAATGGTAAAAGAATACAAAATGCAGCTTAATTACAATGTATAATAATCTATGTACGATTTGGACATTTTTTTTCGTTTTATTTTTCAGGCAATCATTATATTCATCTCTATTGGTCTGAACATCCATTATCAAATTCTCCATTCCTTGGTTATGCAACAGGTGGTTCACTTGATCCTTCAAAGGTCATTTTGACAGGTCGAGGTTTAAAAGAAGCTATAATTCGAGAAGAAGCAGAATTTCTGATAGATGGATCTCAAGCAGGATTAGGTACCCTCAGTTTTATTGGCTCTCTATGCTAAAAATTTAAAAATTGTTACTTCCTGCATGTGAAATATGAAATTGCTTGAAAGCCATAATACATTATTTAGAATATCATTTAAATTTTTCCAGGAAATCCTGAAGTGCAATTAATAGGTGTAAGAGCAGAAGTGAATGTTATTGTCACACCACTAGGTGGTGGAAAGTTCCGATGTACTTACATTCCCGTAATACCAGGTGGATACCTTCTTCACATTAGTTGGAATAATAGACAACTTAAAGGTTCTCCATACAAAGTTAACATCACTGGTGCCTTCTATCCAAATCGAGTGGAGGTGTCTGGTGAAGGCTTAAAAGGAGGGATGATGGGAGATGATATTGATGTTAGAATTGACACCAGGAAAGCAGGTCCAGGTAAGGATTAAAAACAAATACAACTAAATCAATATTTTTCAATAAAAATGCAGTGTTGTTACTGTGTATATAATCTTCCATTTTGGTTACATGACCAAACACATTGCATGGAAATATAGGGGCAAATGATATTGAAACATGTACTCTACTATAAAACTAAATTAAAATGGAAATCAACAAATTTTAATTGACTAGCCAGTTACCATTGTGGATTTCCTAAATGCTGTCTGTCAAGCTAGTGCCACTTCCATGAGAAGTTGATCATTTAACGTGAACACAGTATATGGTACTGCAAGTTACATTACCTGACTGACACCAAAACAAGTTGTATCATTAAGAATCTTCCAAGCCAAAACAAAAAATTACTGATAAGCCATTTTGTACTAAATAAATGAAAATGTCATAATGTCTACTCTCTGTACTCCGGTATATTATATGTGCCCATTTCTGATATATACTATTCAAAAAAAGTAGGGGATATTTGATTTTGGGGGCATAATACTAAAATATGCAAATGACTACGAAAAAAGTCACTATAGAACCTAACAGAAGAAACATTTCCAGTTACATGTGACGCCCAAACGCACCAATAGCTACCGCATGGAATGCAGGTGATGCTTGGGATCATCATGGGGGTCCAACCCAAGATTTGCACGACTCTGACTTTGAATGTTACAGTCATTGTGGCATTGAATTCCAGGGTGGAAACATCAGTTTAATTGTTTTAGTGACCAGAAAACAAATTTTGATATGCGTCGGCTTACCCAAAATGAAAGGTTACGTGCCCTTGGCATGCTACAGATCGGCACAACACAGGCGGTTGTGGCGCGGACGATGAATGTTTCTCAGTCTGTCATAAGCAGGCTATGGTCCAGATACCGTGATACACAATCTGTACAGGACAGACCACGCTCAGGTCGACCAAGGGCGACAACTCAAGCCCAGGATCGATTTATCCGTACCTTGGCCTTGAGAAATCGTGTCATCACAGCAAATCAGATCAGCGCTCGTCTTCAAACAGACACTGGTGTGAGAGTGAGTGGCCAGACGATTCGGAATCGACTGCATAGGGGTCACCTTCGCGCCCGACGTCCTCGCGTGATCCCTTGTTTGAGAGATCATCACATTCAGGCAAGACGTCGTTGGTGTAGGGATAATCGACGCTGGAGCAATGTGATGTTTTCAGATGAGTCAAGGTTCACTGTTGATTTTTTGGACAGACGTAGGAGGGTGTGGCGTCGTCGAAACGAGCACTTCCAAGACGTTAACGTCATCAGACATGATCGATTTGGGGGTGGTTCTGTTATGGTGTGGGGAGGCAACACTGTTGCTGGAAGAACGGCTTTACATGTTGTTGCAGGGCGTGTTACAGGCCAGTACTACCGGGACAACATCTTGGCAGTCCATGTTGACAACGCAAGATGTCACGGGGCCAGGATCGTTACAGGTTACCTCCAACAACAGAACATCACCACATTACCTTGGCCAGCACTGAGTCCCGACCTCTCCCCCATCGAGCATGTCTGGGACATGCTTGGACAGACGTTACGTCAACGTCAACAACGTCCTGCCAATGTCCAAGAACTTGCTGCTGCGTTGCAACAGGAATGGGACAATCTGGACCAAAATGACCTTAGACGTCTCATTAGGAGTATGCCACATCGGATCAATGCTTGTTTGGCAAACAGAGGAGGATTTACCCGTTACTGACTTGGTTGTGATGCTGTGGTAACTTTGCTGTTTGACCCCGGGTATCATTTTACCCTTATAATGGTCAGTCTGTGCCTTACTTAGTCTAACGATCATTTGGAATAAATCGATGAATGTGAACTTCATTTCATTTTGTCATTTGTTTCTTCGTCAGTTTCATTAGGTGACTTTAATAACACTTAAAAATCAAATATCCCCTACTTTTTTTGAATAGTATATAAGCAAATGGAATATATGTTTTGTGTAGTGTCTGATTCATATTGGGTTTTTTTTTACGTTTACAGGGGAACTAACTGCATATTGTATGGGTCCAACTAATGTGGCCTTCTGTGAACTACAAGATAATCATGATGGTCGTTATAATCTACGAATCAAACCACAGGAAACTGGTCGTCATGTTTTACAGATTAAATATGGTGGAGAACATGTGCTAGGTCTGTAGAATAAAGATTTTTTTGTCATTTTGTGAACTTTTAAAGGAAAATGTTGATAAAATTACATGTAGGCGTAATCATCATTAGCAAATTAGATTATTATAAGGATAAGACTGCATCTGAACTAAGCAGCTTTGATCAGTATGGCAGATTTCATTGTTTTAACAACTTAATTTTTTATTGGTTTATTTTCACTAAATCTAAGAATTGAGTAATCTTCGTCATAATCTTGATAATATGAAGATGAAATCATAGAATTGTCTATAATTGTATGTTTATATTTAAAACTATCCAAGGAATTAAGGGTAAGATTGGGTACATTTATATAGGTTTTTAATACATGTATATATAATCAAAAAGATTTGATTTAAAATGGTCACAATCATTGTGATTGCTTCATTGTTGTTTCTTCCTAATGCTATAACAGTGAAGCAGTCATCTAACCATAACTAAATATCTAACATTCTAATGTTTGTTATATTTAAATCATTCATAAAAATTAAAGGGAGAATGTCAAATATATAACCTTGAGGGTCAATAGGTTGTTAACCTTGACTTGTGTACCTATAAGAGCCCACACCTCATTCTAACATAACTGTCACAATAAAAATCCTTTCTGATCCAAATAGACAGATGGATCAATGAAAGAGCAGACACCAGTACCTATTGAAGCTTTAGCTAAAATCTAATGAGTACCAGTAGTTTCGGTCTCATTTTTATACTCACCCATTTTCACGTGAACATATATTGTCGTCGGTGTCCTTTTTATACGCCCACATTTTCATCTGGACGTATATTGTCAACGCCTCTGTCTGTCCGTGGGTCTGTCTGTTCATTCACATTTTGTTTGTGGACACTCTACAGGTCACAATTTTTATCCCATTTCGAGGAAGCTTCAAGTATAGGATTATATCCTAAAGATCTTGGTTCCTTTCAATGTTAGCACATATTGGATTGTAACATTTCGACGAAGCTTCAAGTATAGATTTATATCCTAAAGATCTTGGTTCCTTTCAATGTTAGCACATATTGGATTGTAACTTCCTGGATTATGGCCCCTGAATGTACGAAAAATATTTATCACTGTTGTAGCATAATTACGGATAAGTTTGAATTTCGTGTAAATTGGACCAAAACTGTCTGACAAAATGGCTGCTCCCTTTGTGCAAATAGTGTAAAGTATGTAATGCCAAGGTTGTGGACCCTCCAGAGGTCACAGTTTTTAACTGATTTTGATGAAACTTAAAACATATGTCTGTATCCCAAAGATCTTAATTCCGTGCAATATTGTCACTGTGACATATCAGACTATAACTCCCTAGATTATGGACCCTGATTGTACGAAAAATCACGTTTTTAGCTTGTTTATCTGATTTTGATAAAACTTAAAACATATGTTTATAACCCACAGTTCTCGGTTCCTTCCAATATTGACACATGTCGGACTGTAACATCCTGAATTATGGCCCCTGATTGTATGCAAAATCCCATTTTTGTTCTCTGTCCACCTCTTGCAAAATGTGGGTGTATCTTGCATGGCAACCGCTTGATAATTAACTGAATCCTTAAGTATTAGATTTTTTTCAAATTTCATACAATGGTCTTGGAACTTTTTGGGATTTAATTGTTAATTTAATCAAAATATATTCCTTAAATGGTATAATGGTGAATAAAATGATAAAACTTGGGGATATATTTGACATTCCACCTTTTACTTAACATTAAATTGATTACACTTTAAATAATACCAGCAAGTGTTTCAGTCAAAAATGGGTTAAAATGAATTGATAAAATCATATGAAATGTTATGTGATTTGCAAATATGTATGTAGGATTTTTGTGAATGTACATTAGCTAAGTGCATAAACTTAAATTCTCCATTATTTGTAAGTCAACTTTATTGACACTATCACCAATTTTATTTGTGGGGGTCATAGTTACTAAGTGGGTAAGACGCTGGCTCGCTAGCCTGGAGGTTGGGTGTTTGATTCCTGCATTGACCGAGAAAGATCATCAAGATTTTCCGGCACGGTTCCCCCTTGTTAGTGATGCAGGACGGAGGGCCTGACAAGGACAGCTGTCTAGTCGTTCGGATGGGACAAAAAACAAGGTCCCGTGTACACATTGGCATGCACGTAAAAGATCCCTTGACAGTTTGAATTTGATAAAAGAGAAGGCCGTAGTGCCACTGTCCAGGCAAAATTTCCCTCATAGCACACTGTATGGCGTATGCCCGTCTTCATTAGACCAGTTCGGAGCAGAACAGTAGGACATTAAACCCCTTTTCATTTTATTTCCAATCTTATTTGTTTTTCATGGTTTCAGGAAGTCCATATGCGTTCCGAATCTCTGCACAACCAGATGCTAGCAAGGTACGAGTGAGTGGTCCTGGAGTGGAGCATGGTATCTTAGCAACCTTCCAGAGTCGTTTTATTGTTGAAACACGAGGAGCCGGTCAGGGTCAACTTACTGTTAGAATAAGAGGTCCAAAAGGTAAAATATTCTGTTCCATCAATTTACTGGGAATGGAACACATTAAATATTTTGTTTATTGCTGTAGTTGATCCAATGGTTTAAAAAAGAATATGGTTACAAAAAGCTATTGGTATTTTACTAGTAGCAATAAAGTGAAAACTTCTGTTTTTTTGTGACAAAAATTTAATATGCCCAATAACACCTGGGGCTAGTTTATGGACATTGTTAGTTTGGATAATGCCCTCTAACTATTTAGCCTTAGCTACGCAAGTGCTATAGATGCCAATAGATATCACAGATTTTGATTTTAAGTAATTTATATTCGAGGAGAGATGATGAGATGAGGTACAGAATTATATTCCTAAAAAAATATCTAAAAAAAAAAATATATTTTGCTTTGAAAGGATTTATGACACAATTTCTGCATGAAGTATTATCTGTAGGTATTCTTTAGTAGATATGAATAAAACTGGTGTTAAAGTTAATAAAACTGCTGTAAAGGCAAAATTATCGTATTTATTTATAGTCGGGGATGGAAAACGTTTACCCATAACAATTTGCAAAAGAAACCAATGCAGTTTGGCTCAATTATACGTATGTCAGACAGCATCATACTCATGTCTTTTATATAGTTTTCGATGTCTCTGAATTTTAAAGATAAATTACGAGAATCCAACATGGCAGCAATTCAAAATGGACTCCAAAATGCTGGATTTTAAGTTAACCGTCATTTTTTGCTGATGGATATGACTTGTAGCATGTCATTTATGTGGTTGGCGATGTTGCTTTGTTCAATTCTGATCTCAAGAATCAATTTCGAAAATCCAGGACGGCAGTAATTCAAAATAAAATCCATACTGGCGGAATTGTATTTACTGTAATCAACATTTGTTTCCGTTGGATGTGGCTTGTAATATGTCTTATGTAAGTGTTTTGAGGTTGCTGAGTTCAGTTTCTACCCAAAAACCTAGCCAAGATGGTGTAAATTTAAAACGACAATCAAAATAGAATCCAAAATTGCGATTTTTCTTGTTAGGAATATTGCTTGTAAAATAGCGTTTTCAGGGTTACTGAATTAATTATTGAGTTCAAAAATTAATTTCCGATAAGATTGCCACACATCAAATTTGTGCATAAGCTAGAAACATTAGGACATACTATAGAAAACATAAATTTACAGTCAGTTTTTCAAAAGAGGAGAGAACCGCAACGGACCCCATAGAGTGGGAACCCCTAGCGAGGACAGGTTCAGGAGTCTTTTGGTCCCCAGTCTGTCTCTGGTATCATCTAGATTCTAGACTGATTGTAAACATAGCTCGGAATTTCTTTTCAAAAAACTGACAGTAAATGGTGTTTTCTAGAGTATATCCTGGTGTTTTTAGCTTATGCATGCATATATCTTAACAATTCATCAAAAACGATGTAAATTCATGACTACGCAAGAACATTAACTAGTTTAGGGACCCCTGAAACTGAAATATCTCTTTTCAGTCCATCCCTGAAAAGGCAGGGGGAAGATAGGATGTTAAAACGTGTTTCAAATTCCCGCATTACTTGATTACTTTAATTATCAGTAAAAATGTGCCATATAAAATGATAATTTGTATATTATCTTACAGTTATATAAAAAAAATGTTTGTTTTATCCAATGTGCAATTTATTGTTAGTTTGTGTTAGATATGTGTTAACAGGTGTTAAAATTGAACAATGTGTTACTCCTGAAATCACCTAGTGGATATCAAAACCCATTTCTCTCTCTCTCTCTCTCTCTCTCTCTCTCTCTGGAATTGATACCAGAAGGGCTGTAAACAGGATCACTGAATTTGAAGTATGATGTTGCCTAATATAAGCATGATTGAACCAAACTGCATTGGTTTCTTTTCCAATTTGTTGTGGGTCTCTCTACTCTTGAGATTAACTTGACCTGCCTATTATAGGATAAGTCTATATGCAGAATTTATATTCTTTTCCAAACAATTGATAATTTTCAGATTTTTATTTTTGACATTATGAACATATTGACATTTCTTTTTTACAGGAGCTTTCCAAGTAGAAATGTACCGGGATAGTCAGAAAGACCGAACCATTTTGTGTAGATATGATCCGGCTGAGACTGGGCTGTACGTTATTTCCATTAGATGGTCCGGAGTTGATGTTCCTGGATCTCCTTTCCATGTTCATATCGTGGACACTCAACATGATTTGGAACATGTTCTTCAAGAAGCGGCCTACTCAACCAACTCAATGTTGAGTCGACACAGTGGTAATTATTCACAGTGGCGAGATGACATTTAATTTTTGTACTTAATAATGCAAAACAGTTTAAAGATCTATTCAAAAGCAATGATTATTATTATTTTTTATGGATATTGTTAATGATATTTATTTTCTTCTGGCTAAGGGGTATTTTGAATATTTACCAGTCTGTGTATAACTGCTGAAACTATTATTTTTAGTTTATCATTTACTCTATATCTTGTTCTTTTGATCATATTATAGTTTCCAAAACAGAGCTGTCTGAACAAGGCGATTTAGAAATCTTTATTTTATTGTTATCTTATGAGAATAAATGTATTGATTATCATGAAAATTAATGCTATGCAAGCCCTAATATTGCCTAATACCATATAAATGATTTCATTCAATTTATGATTTTTATATATTTACATATTATCAAGTTATATTTAATTAAAGTGTTATTTTAAAATCTTATAATTGGATGTCCTGTTGAATTAAATAGATTATACATGTACATGTATTGAATATAATGCACAGATGAACATAAACAGTTTGTACTTCTTTGAATATGATGTACAGATGAACATAAATTGTACATGTATTAAATATAATGTTCGTATGATTATAAACAAATTGTACATTTATTGAATATAATGTACATGTATTGAGTATAATGTACAGATGAACATAAACAAATTGTACATGTATTGAATGTAATGTACAAATGAACATAAACATGTTTTGAATATGTTGCACTGCTGAAATGAATAGTTTACCAGGTATACTGCTGGAATGAATATGTTGTACATGAATTGAATATCATGGATAAGCTATAGATATATTCATTGTTATTGTAATAGATTGTTTTGAATATTATAGGTCTACTAAGAAAAATACAGATTTATTTATATTGTTAATTAAAATATTCATAGTTGATGAAGGGAATAAACAACGACTATAATCAATAGTGAATCCATTGAATATACATTAGATATAGCTATTTATATTATTGATATAGTTCTAGATGTAGACTTTTTTAAGGTTCATAATCTGACATAATATTCACACTTAACGTTCATTACTTGTACATACACTTATGTGATAGACTTACTTATATTTTATATATTTTTATAGATATTATTCAATCTTTATTTTTACCTTATATAATTAAATTGTAAATTTATAGATATATATTTTCTGGGTTATGGCTAAATAGTTGTGTTTAACGATTTGCAATGCTAACTTACATTTGTTTTCCAATCATCACCAGATACAGAATTGAAAATATAAATCCTGCTAAATCCATACATTATTTATAGACATCCCCCCCCTCCCCTCCAAGAAGAATTTTTTTAGATAGTTTATTTTGGAACACATTGATGGCATTTGAATAGGTTATCATTAGTTGTCTTTATACAAAGGTATCTGCGTTACAGTTAAATTGTTGAAGAATTTTATTTTATGTAATAAGATTGGAGAATTGTATCTCATAATTTTTGAATAATATTTAGTGCTAACAGTAATCTCAGATTCTGACATTGAAATTTTTATCAAATCTTTATCTTAGCAAGATACCTGTTGTAAGTTATGATTATCTCTTTAAATGTTTGCTTCTTCTCTCATTTCAAACACATACATGTAGATATTTTTTAAAAGTCTAGAACTTACAGAATGTTGTTTGTCTTTTCATTAGTTCATGACTAGAGATCCCTAAAATATATATATAGGTTTATTTAATTTAGGTTTTCTTCACATATAGTGAATATGTTACTTTGGGTAGATAAATTAATGTCAATAATAGTTTATATAGACAAAGAAATATCTAGTCATATTCCTTTTATTTACGAAACCCAATGATCTGATGATACCGTTCAAATTCTTTTTCCTGTTTACTTTTAAAATAGATAACTGTGAATCACCCATGTGGTCATGTCAAACCATACAATTAATTAATATTAAATTTTAGTTATGGAATAGCTATCTGTATTAATACATTTACATTCATGACATAATAAATTTATATATTCTTGTACACTTTTTATTGTTTTATTTTTCTTAAACATTATATACCTGACTGTATCTTCTTGATAAACAGACAATTAATATGATATCCTCAAATATCTCTAAGTGCTGTGTTGCCGACAACTTTCAGACATCATGGAAAGGCTATGGTTTCTTCCTTGTCTTTTATTTATGAATTAATTGTCTGGCTACAATAATATTCATAGCTAGAAATTTTAAGGTGTTATTTACTAAGGATTTATTGCCATTTTAATTTTTAACAGTAGTGAAAAGTGGAATGGGACAGGTCAGTGCCGGATTAGTCAAATAGACATGTGCCTTAGGGCTAGCCAAAAATCCAGACCACAAAAAATAAAGTAAAATTAATGTGATCTAGCTACTGTACTATTATAGCAATTACAATACTGTCAAATGCTTTCCAAACATTCAGATTTTTCGGGCTAACAGGTACAGTGAAAAAAAAGTAATATATTTTTTTAGGGGAAAAATCTTTTGCCTTCTAGTCGGCAAAATAAAGTGGAAATGGTTCATGAGCTGATAATTTCGGCTTAGGTATAGACTCCCTAAAACGGACCAAAATGGCTTTGTGTTGAAAATATAATTATTAAAAATTACATTTAATGAAAGTTTCATTTAGTGATGAACTGATCCAATAACGTATCTAGGGCGGGGCGAGGGGTGGCATTGTATAGGGGGTGGCACTGTTGGCCTACCGTTTTTCTGCAGGGACCGCGGAAGGATAATCACATCCGACACCCTTTTAACATTCCAAAAGTATGCTTGTATTATATTGATGAATCAATCAATATTGATGAATCAATCAAGAGCCCCCTCGGCACAGATGCTACCTAAGCTAAAGAAGTGACGACCGATTATTAAATGTTTTGAGGAAACAATCCCCTAAGGAACAAATCCTTGCTTTTAGAGTACGATACATATTTGCCAATATATAGACTATGAATTCCCAAATCAGATTTTCACCACGTCTGTAATGGATCAGACGTGCTTTCATTTTTTTGTTAGCCCCTGTGAGGCTGTTGTCAATCCTTTCTGCCCGTGACCTGTAAGTGTAGTTATATAAATTTAATTGAATTTAATAGAACTATTCAATTCCTTAAGAGAGAAACAAGTTTTGAATTAATGATATCCGCTCTAAATTTATCCAAACCAATGCTGACTATCGTATCTTTAAAAAGTTATAGGCTTTTCGAGCGATACATTTGAGAAAATGCATACATTTTTTTCAACACTTACGATATTTTAATTTTGAAATCAAAACATCATGCCAATTACCAGTTCTTTGCGTAGATTCTTTAAAAACGTTGAGTGAGGTCGAACGAATTTAAAATATACAGAAACTGTTGAATATTGTAACCATGTGCTATATAGGGATTTAAATCACTAATCACTCTACCAGATGATTGATTATAAAAGTTCATTGAGGTAGATTCGTACATTTGTTAATTAAATGCATCGTGAGATGATTGATAAAGGTCGGAATATATATATACCCTTATCAGACGTACAATGTTTCTCTGTTGACAAAATTACACGACTATTATATACTATTCAAAAAAAGTAGGGGATATTTGATTTTGGGGGCATAATACTAAAATATGCAAATGACTACGAAAAAAGTCACTATAGAACCTAACAGAAGAAACATTTCCAGTTACATGTGACGCCCAAACGCACCAATAGCTACCGCATGGAATGCAGGTGATGCTTGGGATCATCATGGGGGTCCAACCCAAGATTTGCACGACTCTGACTTTGAATGTTACAGTCATTGTGGCATTGAATTCCAGGGTGGAAACATCAGTTTAATTGTTTTAGTGACCAGAAAACAAATTTTGATATGCGTCGGCTTACCCAAAATGAAAGGTTACGTGCCCTTGGCATGCTACAGAACGGCACAACACAGGCGGTTGTGGCGCGGACGATGAATGTTTCTCAGTCTGTCATAAGCAGGCTATGGTCCAGATACCGTGATACACAATCTGTACAGGACAGACCACGATCAGGTCGACCAAGGGCGACAACTCAAGCCCAGGATCGATTTATCCGTACCTTGGCCTTGAGAAATCGTGTCATCACAGCAAATCAGATCAGCGCTCGTCTTCAAACAGACACTGGTGTGAGAGTGAGTGGCCAGACGATTCGGAATCGACTGCATAGGGGTCACCTTCGCGCCCGACGTCCTCGCGTGATCCCTTGTTTGAGAGATCATCACATTCAGGCAAGACGTCGTTGGTGTAGGGATCGTCAACACTGGGATAATCGACGCTGGAGCAATGTGATGTTTTCAGATGAGTCAAGGTTCACTGTTGATTTTTTGGACAGACGTAGGAGGGTGTGGCGTCGTCGAAACGAGCGCTTCCAAGACGTTAACGTCATCAGACATGATCGATTTGGGGGTGGTTCTGTTATGGTGTGGGGAGGCATCACTGTTGCTGGAAGAACGGCTTTACATGTTGTTGCAGGGCGTGTTACAGGCCAGTACTACCGGGACAACATCTTGGCAGTCCATGTTGTGCCGTTCGCACGACGTCATGGCCGCCGTTTCATCTTCCATGATGACAACGCAAGATGTCACAGGGCCAGGATCGTTACAGGTTACCTTCAACAACAGAACATCACCACATTACCTTGGCCAGCACTGAGTCCCGACCTCTGCCCCATTGGGCATGTCTGGGACATGCTTTGACAGAGGTTACGTCAACGTCAACAACGTCCTGCCAATGTCCAAGAACTTGCTGCTGCGTTGCAACAGGAATGGGACAATCTGGACCAAAATGACCTTAGACGTCTCATTAGGAGTATGCCACGTCGGATCAATGCTTGTTTGGCAAACAGAGGAGGATTTACCCGTTACTGACTTGGTTGTGATGCTGTGGTAACTTTGCTGTTTGACCCCGGGTATCATTTTACCCTTATAATGGTCAGTCTGTGCCTTACTTAGTCTAACGATCATTTGGAATAAATCGATGAATGTGAACTTCATTTCATTTTGTCATTTGTTTCTTCGTCAGTTTCATTAGGTGACTTTAATAACACTTAAAAATCAAATATCCCCTACTTTTTTTGAAAAGTATATATTATTAATCAATGTAGCGCGTCACATTGGCAGTTGACAGAAGTTAAAATGTATCTAGAATAAAGTTATTGTATGTTTTCCTATTATCACTTGAATTTATCAACATCAGAAATGAAATCAAATGGGGTTTAACGCCCTACTGTTGTGCACCGGGCCTTCGACTGGGCTAATAAAGACAGACATATGCCAAACAGTGTGGCTAAGAGGGAAATTTTTGACCGGACAGCGGCGCTACCGCCTATACTCATATATCGAATTCCAACCGGCAAAGGTTCTTTTATGTGTTCTGATATGTGTTCAGCGGACCTCAGTTTTCCGTCCCATCCGAACGACTATTCATTGTCCTTTGCCAGGCCCCCTGTCCTGCATCACTGACACGCCTGAAAATCCCCATGAACTTTCTTGACCTCCTGATTATCGAGCCAACGTCTTACTCACTGAGTCACCGCGGCTCCCTATCGACGTCAGATTATTAAATTAAGTCGCCTATTTGTAGCTCACAGAAAAGTTAAATATATAACTGCTTAAGACTGTAAATATATAACTGCTTAAGACTGTAAAGCAAATGCGCCCATTTGTGAAAGAACATAACTTAGTTAACTCCCAACCAGCGTATGTCATTGTTGAAAAAAACGCAGATACTTCAAAAACAACACAATGAAGATGCTGTTTTCACGAGGGTGATATCTCAGACAAGTAAAGGGATATTAGACATACTTTGTGAAATTAAGGTCAAACCCATCATAATGTCATCGACAAAAATGTCACCAATGTGGTGTAGTTTGGGATTTAATGGCTCGGGCTATTTGCCACATGTGGTAAGACAATCCGGAGACTATTTGCCATATGTGGCAAGTCTCCGAACCGCAATTATGAACCGATATCCATGAAACTTACAGAATGTGATAACATTAGTAATATCTCAGAGAATCCAAAATTTCGACCACTTCCGGTCAGCAGTTTCCAAGACATCGGATTACCACATATCCCATGTGTCACGGCTGCAGACCGCAATTATCAACCGATATCCACGAAACTTGGAGATTATGATTACATTCATTATATCTCAGAGTAGGCAAAGTTTCGACCACTTCTGGTAAGCGGTTTCGGAGATATCAGGTTACCACACATTTCATGTGGCGCGACTGATGACCGCAATTATGAACCGATATCCATGAAACGTACAGAATATGATAACATTAGCAATATCTCAGAGTAGCCAAAAGTTTGACCACTTCCGGGTATCGGTTTCCGAGATATCAGGTTATCACTTTGAGATATTATTAATGTTATCACTTTGAGATATTATTAGTGTTATCATAATCTGTGAGTTTCATTGAAATCGGTTGATTACTGCGGACTGTAGTCGTGCTACATGAAATGTGTCGTAACCCCATATCTCGGTAACCGCGTACCGGAAGTGGCCGAAAGGCTACTAAGAGATATTATCACTGTTATCATAATCTGTAACTTTCATTAAAATTGGGCAAATAGCCACTGCCGGATTTAACAGACTAATATAAAACCGAGTTTAGATATTTATATTGTCAAAATGCTCTTTTAATTGTATTATATTAACAATAACAGCAAACATAGTATCCAAAACAAATTAATAAACAGGTCAACAGTCCCCGTCTCACTTTCAAAAGATATTAGTGTGATGTAATGGTGGGAAAACTGGGCGTTCTACATATGGACAGAGAAACATTTAATATTTATCTGCAGAATGAGATTTGTCTACGGTGTCACGCGGAAAGACCATGTTGCGCTCCTTGGAATTATCTACCCTCAAAGCCTATGGTAGTGATTATACGTCTTTCTGACACACGTTATAGCGTTCCATTTCAATTCTAACAACCCAGTATGTGCTTACTTAGTAAATTAGATTTAACTGGTGTTTTCTGATGTTACAATTTCAGACGAATATCGTTAGGTTTGTAGATTGTCTTAGAATCCATAAAGATTGGCAGTGGAATTGAACAACATAATTGGGCGCACAGCCACATGCATACCGGAACGTTTGTTCAATTAGAAAAAAAACTTAGATCACGTTGTACATAAAACATTTAATTCTTTTTAATGAAGACACCGTTTTTTAAACGACAAAGAAAACTCAAAAGTATTATATTGATTTGGTTTGGAGCAAGATACAAGAAACACATGCCCTAGTTTGATACCTCTATTCGGCACACGACTTATACAGTATCTCTGATCACTTTTGTTTCTGATCATCCCATTTTGAAACTGCCAAACCTTTGTGGTGTAAACACTGTCGCATTTGACTAAAACCAAATCATGGTTATTACTAGAATATAAACAAAGTCCTTTGTACATTAAGGCGTAATTATAAAAAGAAAAGTCATTGGCGATGTGCGTCTCGTCACTGACCAACACAAGCTGATTGTTTTTGTCCACCGATACGTAGACCTCGGCACTGCTCAGTTTTAAACGCCCGTAATGTTCACTTTGTTTTGGAGGAGGTTTAAGATCTGTCTGAGCCCGTGTAAGAAATGCAGAAAAGGTGTTACATTTTAAAATATTACTGTATGTCTTGAGAGCTTTTGTATAATAGAATGAAATAGGACGAGTGTGGGGTAATGAATTATGTATTAAACATTTGTAATATTTATAGCTATTGCTCAAAAATGTTTGGGCTACGTACGCTTTATATCTCAATGTAGATTCCCTCTCTGAGAAATATTGTTGTCGCTTTCTCTGTTTAGGTTCTTGGAATTCAATGACTTTTGAACAAGAAGAACGAAGAATTTGTCCATGACACAACCACGTTTTAATACTCCATAAAACTGCTTCAGCACCGGATCCCTTTCGAAGATAATCAAATCCCCCGATTTCCTTGAAATAGCGCGCACTCACCACAAACAGATGTTCGTATATAGCTGGTTGCGTAGTTAATCTACCGGAATGATCCGATACAGAGGTACCTAATCCCCATCTTAAGTTTAAGTCCCAGTCAATCTCCCGTCGTCGCATTGAGTACCATGTTAGATTTTGACGAGAGTTTACGGTAGATGGTATTGGGAGTGGCACAGCAACTGTAGTGTAGTTCTTAGTCACCTCAGAGATTAAGGGTTCCAACCAACCCTCTTCAACGATCACTTTTGCATCCAGGAAAACGTATGTCGTTGCTGAAGTAAATTCAGCAGCAAATGCTCTGGCTGGGAGATCATCTGTATAATTTGATAAATGAAATGTTCGGAAGAATGGAACCGGTAGGAGATGGTCTTCTAAAATATCGAAATCGTTCTCACTTAATCTTTTGTCAGCAACAACAAATAAATTGTGAACCAATTCTTTGGGAGTGTTCCTTAACAGAAACGTGACGCAGCTGAATATCTGTAAAAGACTGGAATCACTAGCTCCAACAATGATAGCTACTGGAGATGAACTGCTGAACGACATATTTTCACGGTAAGTTTCATCACAGAACTGTTCTCTATGGCTTTTTAAACTGTGTGTCCACGGGAAAAAATAACCGGACGAAGAATTGGAGTTCTCTTTAAGGTATCGCCTCACCTTTCCCTCTAGTACATGAACGTCCGGCCAGTTCTCTGAAAAAGTCCCAGGGTCTTTTTCCTCTTCTTCTTCTGAAAAATAGGCTTTGGCTAATCGTGGCGACAGCCCATTACTAGAATTAGACGATGACGATACCGTTGTCCACATTTTAATTCCTATAAAAGCGACAACAGCCAAAGCCAAAAAGCTTAACATATGTCTCTTAATTAATCTACTCATTTTGAACATTTTGGTATCTACAAAAGCTAGTAATAAATAAAATTGTTAATTTCTTCAGTCGATATAGTCATCCAGTTTCCATAGCAATACTTTTCCACAATAATCACAGCTTTCGACCATTTCCTTTTGAGATACTATCAATCACACCTGCAAATAGGAACACGGCCACTGTAACAAACAAAACTCGTTACATATATGCACCAGGGTTATGTACTTAGTCAGGTCAAAATCAGTGGTATTACACGTTTTTATGTTTGTCAACGCTCTTAGACTGAATAAGCTAAATTAAAAACTCATTATAAAGGTATACACAGCACACGTTTAAAGTTAAAAGATGTAGATATCTTAAAGATGAATACAACCTGTTTTAAAGGAACCAAAAATTGCTCTTAAATTACTGCTGCAAGATATATAGACAGTGTGTAGTCTGTGTATTCGACACAATGAGTTCACTTTCTATTCCTATTTAAAAGTTCGCTCATTATGGTGCATGTGTATTATTATAAAACGTTGAAAATTAATCTCTCACCTGTAGTCAAAAGCTACGAATAGGTTACCCCTTTAAGTTACCGCCATGACGTGTCAAGATAAGTGTCCGGGAATAGTCCCATTTAATCGATTGTATTCTGTAATCTATATAAATAAAGTGATAAAAGTATATCTAGTACCATGGTATACGGTCCATGCAGTACCCATCACTACTAAGATCAGCTTAGCCAATAAGGCTATATAGCTATCTTTACGATATAGGTATCGCTATCTTTAGAGATCATACCTATTAAGATTTACACTGACTTGCCTTTAGGTCGTCAGAATTTAAAACTCTCTCGAACTAACAGCAAACATTATTTATTTGACAAATTATAATGCTCAATAAATTTGAATTAAAGTGTGCACTTGTCGCCTTTTCCGCAATCATTACATTGGATTATTTATTGACATGACCTATTTTTTAAAATGGTATTTATTTACTAAGTAAAATTGAATGTATCTTTTTGTTTTATTTTAAAACAAAATCTTATTCAGAGTAACTGAATGGGGATGAGGACCAGGCGCAGCCTATGTGATATTGTTTTGAAACATCTTATTTAAAGCTATTGAACATTTACCTTAAAGAAGGGTAAGAACGTCCAATCGACACAATCTAGGTCATTTCGGGACTAACATAAGGTTCAACTCTATTTCAATAATTCGCTCGCGCGTAGGGGTCTTTAGCAATGGGAGGACAGACATGATACAACGCGCACGCGTAACCATTCGGCCATCCACCCCCAAGAATATGCAAATTAATTATGTTCCACAATAAGACAAGAATAATATGTAACTTAAAAGAATAGTCACCATAGCTTTCACCTCGCAGGGATTTTCTGTAGCATTATTATCCTGTCTTCTTATACAATGAATTCTGTAAAAAGGCCAATATATCGGAAGTCAGTGTTCATGATGATCCGTATCGATTTTACAGTTCTCACCATTCACCTTGTCACACCTGGAAAATAAATACTCTTTAATAACTAGCGTAACGTCACTAACGATTAAATCGCATTTAGGACAGCATGTTTTTTACTTAAAATTGTTTGGTCCAACACGGTGACGAATTTTAGAAAATGTATAATATAGTGTTTAATAGTGTTTATCGTCTGTTTCAAACTCCAAAGCCACCCTTAATTCATGTTCTTACATAATCAAATTTTTCTATAGGTTATATAATCTTATCTCAAAATCTGTAAAATACTAAATGGGAACAATCTTATATACACTTCATCATGGCGCAATAAATTTCGCTCTCACATTAATCATAAAAGCGCCCTTTTTCACAAAATCTTAAATTTCCTTAAAATCGTCTTAAACTGATGCGTTTCACAAAACGATTTTAAGCATTTTAGATAAAATCCACAAAAATAATATTTTAAGTTAAAATTTTATCTTAACTTAAAATTGTGGCGTTTCACAAAACTATTTTAGGGACAATTTTATATAATCAGTTTTAACTGGGGACAGCCGTCACTCTCTTCCTAACTTAAAATCACGACATTAACATTAACATTGATTAGAGTTACGTTGTTAGATCTATTGCGACATATACATATGTTTTGAATAATGATAATATTGCCAATGCTCCGGGTCACATAATTTTAACATACTATCATTCACAAAAACAATTCTCATTCAATTTCTTTTCATAGCACAGGAAATACTGCGACCCAACAAAAAACACTCAAAACCCCAGTAAACAAAACTCTTTGTTACAGTCTTATATGTTACCATAAGATTCAAGTATAAATTATACTATTTTCAAATAATTAATAGAGCAAAAAAAAAAAAAAAAAATACCTAACAAAAAAAGCCCACCCTAAAAGAGAATCTGAATTCACTTCATATCTATCTAATGCCATGGAAAGAAAAGCACTCTTATCTATAAGAAAAATATCTTTGTGCAGGCCTACAATTACGGAAGCGTATAGGGGTCATGCAAAATTTTGTAGAAGGTCTCGAGATCCTGCGATCCTGTGATACTTTCTCGAAATCCCGTGATCACTTGGTAATTTTCTCGAGATCTCAATTTAATGTTCTCGAAATCCCCTGATAATTTTCCTGGGACATTGACATCCTGTGTGTATTTTCTCGAGAATTCGAGTTAATGTTCTCGAGATATTGACATCCTGTGTAAATTTTGTCGAGATCCCTAGTTAATATGAAACCTTATATGATAGTGTCTCCACGTTGTGATGCAACCATTGGCCCAATACTTCGCACCAAATTTGATAATAAAAACAATTACTCTAACATTTGTTACAAAGGAAAACTGCTAACTAACGAAAGAATAAACGGACAATCGATAGGGTACCCATGATTTACACTAAATTTGAGATTTGATTAAAATCGGTAGGGTTCATCGTCTTATGGCCTAAATACATCACACCAAATATGAAGCTTTGATATGTGAAGCTTTGAATTAGAGACATGCTTGTTAAATTATTTCAATTTAATGTTTGGGCGACGTTTAATAGAAAATGTCAATTTTTGCATGGTTTTCAGACCATATTCTGCTTTAGAATAAAGCTAGACACAGGGTTTATTGTCTTGTGGCACAAATGCTTCGGAGCAGATATTAAATCAAAAATCTTGAAAAACTCAGGACTCTAACACGTTCACAAGGTTTACCGGAAAAAAGGAATAACACCATAACAAAGCGCCAGGGAGCGCTGCAAATCAATAAGGTTCATTGTTCCGCCGAAATTAAATAGGATTCCTCTGCTTACGACACTAATGATTCAAAAGAAATTTGAACGATTGCCACGCGAAGTGTGGAGATACGCCCACGCAGCATCTATGCCTCAAGAGCAGATTATTCGAAAGGAAAACTTGGTTGTTTAATAAATTGAATAAGGATCTAACATTCTTCAAGAAATCTAATCTCTATCGTGTTCGCGTGCTTGTTATATCTCTGGGAGAGAAAACCTTATATTGCTGAAAATTAACAGGGGTCATCATTGTCGCGGAACACTGAATTTCGAAAATCCGTTAAAAACAAGGTTTTCAAAGAATGGAGAGTATAACTCCGGATCGGAAGATCGCTATAACCAATGAATATCCATAAATTTCGTGATCCCAAAGCTTCACACAAAATTTTAAAAGTAAGGCCTCTATGGCGTGAACAAGGCTTTCAGGGAGCGGGCGGGGAGGGGCCTATATTAAGGAACAGAAGGTCACAGAATGCTGAATATCGATAGGATTCGTCTCCTCATCGTCACATATTTGAAAGAAATACGGACAAAGAGAGTAACTCTCAAACAGAAGTTTGCGGAGTACTGACAATCGAAAGGTCCTAGTGCTTCACACCACATTTGAAAAACAAAATCAGTTAAAAACTGTAGCCTCTATTACGTTAACAAGTTTTTCGGATAAGGGGCATAACTCCAGGACGATAAGGGGTGCTAGAAGCGACAGGGACCGCCCTCTCATGGCCTCAATGCTTTACACTAAATTTGAAACAAATCCGTTAAAAACTGTTGGCTCTATCGTGCTATTAAGTTTTTCGGGAAAGTGTGTGTGTGTGGGGGGGGGGGGGGGGTAAACTCCGAAACGACAGGTTATGCGGCACTGAGAATACTTTAAATCTCGATAAAATTTACACAGGATGGCAAGATCCCGAGAACATTAACTCGAATTCTCGAGTTCGTTATCATAGGATGGGAGATTCTCGAGAAAATTATTAGGGGATTTCGAGAACATTAAATTGAGATCTCGAGAAAGTATCACAGGATCGCAGGATCTCGAGGTCTTCTACAAAATTTTGCATGACCCCTATACGCTTCCGTATACAATGGTTTAAACTAGCCAATTACTAGACATGCCATAATATGCAAAGTATTTACTCATGTTTTTTGGGGGGTTATGATGATTTGTAAAAAGATAAACCAATAATCTCAGATGTGTTTATTGAAAAATGTTATAGGCCTATTTTAAATTATATTTTTATATCATAAATTTATTATTATTATTATTTCTTAATGAAGGCTTACGTTAATAGCACAGCGTAAACCAGAGAAGCTTTAGGAGCCAAGGTATTTTATATTGAGCAAAAATCATTTTAATTAAGTGAGATTGATAGGCATTATCCAATAAGGAGTGTGGCTGATATTTCAAATCTAGGCATCGGAACATTGGCTGTTTGGTGTATCAGTTTAAAAGTCGTTAAATACTTTTAAAACTCGACAATAATTTACAGTTTAGATTAGTCGTTTGAGTCTGTAATATCATATGTTTGTGACAATTTTCAATAGTTTCTGTTATCCAAAATACCATAAAACTACGAAATTCAAGCGATTTACTGTCTGTTTCAGGTGACACTCCGACTCGAAAATTGCTTGCCATTTCTTCATTTTTGAATTAAAATGGATACAACTTTTTTGACATACCTGGAATTTTCGTCCCTTTGATTTCTTCCCTTAGCCCAAATGACTAGAAGTCCGATAAAATCCAGTATTCTCTTGTAAATTTCACATATTGCGATATGGTCACTTTCTCAGAACATAAACATTACGATTACACCTGCGTTAAAGCGAGAATTTCAAATTTTCTAAGAAAGTCAAAACATAATTATTTCTATGTCTTTTGCTCAATAGGTTATCAAATCACTATTATACGATCATGGGCATTATTTCCCACCCTTAAAAATCTATGACACAGGAAATAACAACACAATTACCTCCACTAGGTTTTGCTATTGACAACATGGGGCAGCCATTTTCCAACGTTGGAATTTGAAGTTAAAAATTATATTTTTGCCAATTTCTCAGCTGGCAATAGCGAATTATAGGATTAATAGGATTGTTCTTTAACAAGGTAGGACATTTTATGGATACCATCTATTTTAAGGCTTTATTTTAATACATTTTAAAAATATAACTTGAAAATTTGCAATTGCAACTTTAAACGGAAAACTTTCATATCGCATTAGGGTAGACAGGTACTTTACAAATTGGGTGCATTCGGTTAGAAATGTCTAGTGAAGGAGAATTCGCCCGTTTGTTTCGCGACAATAATACTTATTAGGGTTTCACACAATGAAGCTTGTGTGAAACAATATTTTTTTAGTTCGGATTAATGTTTTTTTTTTCCTGTTTCCATTTTGCTTATTTCGCAGAAAAACGCCTATTGGATCACTTGGAGTGACTTTTAGGCCCATATTTTCGAACAATGTCTAAAATAATCTGTCTAATCATTTAACAAGCTAATTAGAGATTAGTAGTTGACTAAGTTTGGATTTCTCAAAAGTCAGATTAGCTAATCTTACTCTTAGACTATACTTTGTCTTCATCAAGGATTAAAATTAAATTCTAATATTTGATTGTAAATTTTATATCTCTGATTTAATATAATCATTGAATAAAGAGTTTTGTTTATCATTGATGAAAGTGACCAGTTACAGGAAGTAGATTACAAAAACATATGTTTGAGAACAGTGTTTCCGAACCCGGGGTTCAAAGTAGGGGGTAAACAGGGAGAAAAAGCGGGTTCGTGAAAATAGATATCCAAGTAAATTAGAATATGAAAGTTTTGGTATTGTATTGGGACAGTGAATTTCCGTAGTCCACAATGGGGAGGTATAATTGTCTTCACTACAATAGAAAATTCTCTCGGATTTAAAAAACGGAATTCATCATTATTTGTCAATTTTGTTTAAACTTGCAATATTTCTATTTAAAGGGACCATTCCGGATTTTAACAGAGTATCAGAAACAAGAGTGTACGTATGAAATGTAAGCGCCAGAATGGTGTATTTACCCGTCTCAAAATTTCAGTTCGAAATATTGAGTCGTTTGGACGTCAACGCTAAAACCGTTTATCCGAATACGTAA